GATGTGCTCCACTCTCTCCTCCTCCCCTTTCATCTGCTCCCGTGTGCTCCTGTCATATATGTCCCTCTCCCGGAGCTGCAGATTCAATGCCATCCTTTGAAATAAAATTTTCTGGGTGTCCATGTAGTAGTTGGAATTGGGGCCAGCCCTCAAGACCTCTCCACTGGCTCCCTTACTGTAACTCTTTTTGGGAGGAGAAAACCTTGTCTTTCTCGTGAGTAGCAACTGAAAGTAAGTAGAAAATTTCCCCAAATATTATTTGTGAACAGATAAGTAGTAAATGTGAATTCTTCCTTAACTTTTATGTGGTTATCTCATAATTTAATTTTTTCAAGAATTTATGAGATACATATTATTCATTCTTTGTTGGCTGGATGAGAAAATTGAGGATCCAAGAAATTAAATTGGCCAAAGTTGTCCAGCTAGTAAGTGGTGACTCAGAGATATGAACTAGGGTTTGTCTGCTTCCAAAATTACATGTGCTTTTTCTGTGACAAAATGGGAGCCCAAGAATAGTAATTATATGTATTTCTAAGGCTGGTTTAGCAATGCAAGTAACTATCACAATAGCCCTTGTGGATGACTCTCCTTCTCCCTCCACCAACCACCCCTGTTGGGGATGATCTGTTCCCAAGCCTAGAAGAGAATGAAGTATGTCCGCAGAAGACAACTCGGCTGGCAGAAGGGCATGAGCAGCCCAAGTACTGCTCTATTCAAGGGCACCTGGATGGTCTGTCCTTGCGAATGTAACAGAAGCGCAGCTGCTCTCCCCTGACAAGTTCTGTGTGCAGGAATCCTCTGAGCTGGGAGGTTTTGTTTGTGGACAGATGTTTCCTTTCCTTCCACTTCCCATAGCAGGGGGTGAGCGGGTCTTCATATGTGCCAAATGCATTTCCTCTTCTATAATTTTCTTATCCGCCCCCAAAGGTATATATTTTGCATCTGAAATCCATTCAGATATGAATCACAAAGATAATTTTCCATTTGACTGGTTTTGGATAAAGAAAAATTGGGCTCCGAGAGGTTCTGCTGTCATGTAAATTAAAAATATGAAGGCATCTCATTGAAATGCTAAGGATGTGCTGGACGACCCTGGGGTTCTTTCATCTAAAGATCTTTCTTAGAGTGTTGGTACTGACTTATTAATAAAGATCATGCCTTTATTTGATTATCTAATTAAGATTCACCTTAATTTAAGCTCATTAAGTGTTCTGCTAATGAGTAACACTTTAAAGTGTGCTTGATGGTGGAATTACATCCAGGTAAGTCAGACACTAGGTTAATGGTCGGAAAGAAAGATGCCGTGCCCTGTAAAGTCCGCTCCGCTCCTCTAGTGGAGGCTAGGGACTGTCTGCCACCCCCTAAACATGTTTAAAGGGTTAGTTTGGGAGACTAAGGCCTGAGCATTATAACTAAATACATTTATTAACAGGGCAACAGAAATCAAGAGCTACTACCCATTTGTATGCATTATTTTGAAGGAGTTTTTCTAATGAACTTGTATGTTCATAAAAATCATAAATTTTAGTTTGTTCATATAGGATTTGGGTTGCTTGATATCCCCCAACCTGACTTTCCAGGACTTCCATTTAATCTGTTTGTTTCCACTTAACTAATTGCAATGCAAGTGAGCCTATTAATCTCTCTCCCAGGTCGTGCTCCCAAACCCAAACCAAATTCCCTTCCTTGAGTCAGTGGGGACACACAGTGACCCCCTGTGGTGGGTTTCTAAGGCCTCATCTGTGTAAGTGGTTTGAAACTGCCCACCATTCACATTGCAGCCCAACCTGTCACCAGGCTCGGCAGAAACAAATAACTCAGTCTTCTTGCTCTTACGTGCTAAACGGATGTCAGGCTCAACTGCTTGAAGGGCCCAGCTGCACACATAGGAAGTTCTACTTGTTGAGCTCAGAAACCTCAGGCTACCACAGCGCCTGGTTGAAAGAGTCCCTGAAAACAGCATGGGGGCAAAGTAACGGAGAGGAAACAGTGCAACTCAGTCTTGGCACTGTCATGCATAAAAAGATTTACCTAGCAGGGTTCGAGAGCGAGCAGCTCAGAACTAGACTTTATATATCACTCCCTGGATTCTTATGGTGACAAGCAATGAGCAAGGCTCCATCAGCAGAGAGAGGGGGAGAAAAAAGATATTTTCTCAAAGACCTCTTCTACCTGGCATGAACTACAACCATGGTGGAAAGAAACTGCTCCTACTACCCTTCATGTACTTATTCAACATTTACTGTGGCAGCCACTACGAAATAGAAAAAGATGTGTCAACAGCGACCTTTGCCTTGACTGCACTTATGGTACATGTACTTGGACAGAGAGGGAAAGCACATGAAAGGTTGAAGGGCTCATTCTTCCAGCCCAAAATGCATCATGTAAGGTGTGATGGTGGATCTTGGGGGTACAGTGGTGAAACACATCTGAGCCTGAGAGGAAACCAGGCAATGACTGCAATATAACCCAAGGATGAGCAAAGTGTGTTTGAGTAGCAGTGAAAAAATACCATAAGGCTGTATGGAATTAATTTCCCAGTAAATGAGGTAGAGCCGGGCAAGTGATGTGAGGTAAGTAGTTTGTAGTTTGGGTTGTGATGTGGCTGAACAAAAACACCAGTGAACAGCTCAGCTGGGCACTGACTCTTCTAGGACGTAAGAGAGGTGGGTTCACCCGAAGCCAACACTCCCAAACCTTTTGGGTTGGTCATACAGATCAAGCATCAGGTCTAGATGGAATCCTGATATTGTTGAAGCGAGTGTCTTTAAGTACCAGAGTGCCTCTTCTTCCGAGGTATTCATCTCAGTCTTGGGATTAGACTTCGGATCAGGGAATTAGACTCTGATCATGAAGATCCTTTATTATGGCATTGAGAAGGAAAGAACAAAAAAGCTCACTTCCACACTTGTGTTTCTTATGAGATTATTAAACTACTACTTTTCTCCTTGAGGGTTGTACTTAAAATGGAAATTATGTAAATATTCTGTTGCTTGTTACACTGTCTGCACTCAGAATCCAATTGCATTCCTCTTAAGATATCTGCCATAACATCCTCTACTCTTTTTATTTGTATACTTGGCACCGTTCACCCCATTGACTTTGTGAGGGCAGAAAACATGCCTCGCCCTTTATTTTTGGTAAACTCTTGGTTACTTAGCACATTGCCTTGCAGGTAAAAAGGAGTCAATATCTGTTGAATGAATGTATCAATCAGAAATGCACTGGGCTCTTCAGTTTGGGCGTTCATTTGACTCTAATCCTGAAATAGACTTCCCCAGAGGTCGGAGGTACCTCCCTAGTCATTAAAGATGTCAGCAACTTCAGAAGAAGAGAGCTAGCAAAATCATTCCTCAGGATCCACAGGGAAGCAGGTGTCGGACGGAGCTGGCCTCACCTGCTTCCTATGAAGGAGTGTTAGCTAATGTAGCGTATATGACCTGTAGTGGAATCAATCTCATATTCAAGCAAAAACAGAGAGGACACTATGAGCAAAAATGGTACTAACTTTTTCTATGGAGTACAGAATAGATAATCATGATTACTTAAAATTTATGTAAATTGGGCAGAAAAATCCAAAGGACCACAAACCTGTGATATAAACCATGACTAGGAGGGGGTAATATCCCAAATAGAGTCACAATTCTTGGTCACCTCATCTCTGTGTATCATTCTCTATAGGTGGGATTGGCTGTGAAGGTCGAGATCGGGGTCAGGTTCGAAAATGCCTTGATGCCGTGGAGATCTACAATCCTGATGGGGATTTTTGGAGAGAAGGCCCTCCCATGCTAAGTCCTCTCCTCTCCCTTCGAACCAATTCTACCAATGCAGGAGCGGTGGATGGGAAACTGTATGTCTGCGGGGGATTCCATGGAGCAGGTACTGTTCCAGGGTAAATGTTTGGAACCTTTGGTGTTGATTTTTATATCAGATGAATAAGTTTTATTTTTGCTTTCGTAAAATCAACTTATCTTGTTTGTTTGTTTTGTTTTTGTTTTTAAAGGACTTTTATCACCATACAATTCAATTGTTTGAATATATTAAAAGAATTCTACATTCATCACCACAATCAATTTTTGAACATTTTCTTCATTTTTGTGCTTGTTTTATTAGCTCCTCATTCCCCATCCCCCGACATTACGCTAAAAACTTATTAATCTAGTCATTACTCTATAGATTTATCCATCATGGATTTTATACCAAGGGACCCTGGTGATGTAGTTCAAATTCACCAGCTTCTCTGTGGGTCAGTAGTTCAAATTCACCAGCTTCTCTGTGGGAGAAAGACGAGGCTTTCCACATCTGTAAAAGTTGCAATCACGGGGGTGGGGGTGGGATGGGGTGGGGAATGAGGAGCTGATACCAAGGGCTCAAGTAGAAAGCAAATGTTTTGAGGATGATGATGGCAACAAATGTACAAATGTGTTTGACACAATGGATGTATGTGTGGATTGTGATAAGAGTTGTACAAGCCTCCAGTAAAATGATTCTTTAAAAAAAGTTGCAGTCTCAGAAAGCCACAGCAGCAATTCTGCCTTGTACTTTTAAGATTATTATGAGTAGGAATTAATTTGATGGCAGTGAAGTTTTTTTTTAACCATTTTAGCATTTCATATAAAGAAATCATACAAAATACCAAGCCAACAACAATAACAAAATAAAACAAAAATCTGAATCCAAAAGAAAACAGAGTATAATAAAGACTAGCAAATTTTAAATGAATTAAAGGGAGAATAAATGATGTCATTACATTGTAACCTAAATATGTCTGCATTGATTTACTTTCGGATGCATTCTGTGTAGAGCAAGGCTATTGACACCTCTGGTGGATGGTCCAAGGGAATTCAAAGGAGGCATACTCCCTGTGGGGGTCTCTGAAAACGGATTTTGTCTTGTACTGTCATCCGTAGCCTTCTGCAAACTGAATGCTCAGATTTAAGTTTAACACAATTCCTTCTCTGATCTAGGAATTTTTATTTATAATCCTTGGATCCATAGCCTGTTATCCCTGTAGGAACGCTGAAAATGGATTTTGTCTTGTACAGTCATCCGTAGCCTTCTGCACACTGAGTGCTCAGATTTAAGTTTAACACAATTCCTTCTCTGATCTTGAAATTTATATTTACAATCCTTGGATTCATAGTCTGTTGTGCTTTTTCCACTCAGGCTTAGCTGAAGCCTAACTTAGTTGACTGCTTGTTTTAAGACAAGCTTTAAAGACCCCAAACGCTATTCTGTCCGATAACCAGAAGCCTCTGCTTTCTTCAGCACACTTTTCTGTAGCTTCCAGCTATTCATGAGGGTAAGGACAGAGCAAGGCCATCTCTGATGAATAATCTTGAGAGCAGGGTATGCAGTGACCAAAAATGGAGCCCTTGAGCAACTCACCAAACCTTTCTGAACTTTTGTTTTCACTGCCATCAAATGTAGCTGCTAGTGCTACAGGTCGATGGATGAATTAAATAGGATTTAATTGACCATACATCTGGCACATAGCACTCAATAAATATTAGTTGACTTTGAACAGAAAAGAGAGTGCGAGCTGCACAGTGGTAAGAGCATTCAACTGCTAATCGAAAGGTTGGCAGTTCAAACCCACCAGCCCTCCTGTGGTGAACGACGTGGAGGGCTGTTTCCATCAAGTTTCCAGTCCTGGAAACCCTCGGGAGCATCCTGCTCTGTCCTAGAGGGTCGGGATGAGTTAGAATGACTTGACAGTAGAGGGTTTAGTAGTGACTGAGAAAGAGAAAACAATTGATACGAAGAAGATTTGTGCCTGGTTGTTGAGCTAAAGAAGGAGAGATTGTGAAATGTGAAGAATTGGTAGTGTGGTGGATAGTGACCAGAATCATTGGGTTTTATTTCTGTCTTTATGAACAAGAAATTTTGCCCCTCAGAAAATTCTCTTACTCTTACACCTACTACTGCCAATAGAAATAAATTGCTTGAAAACATTTCTAAAATACTACCCACCCAATGCATACATTCATTAGGACAGAGTAGAACTGCCAGTTTGGGTTTCTGAGAGACTTTAAATATTTATAGGAGTGGACAGCCTTACCTTTCTCCCATGGAGCAGCTGGTGGGTTTGAACTGCTGACCTTATGGTTAGCACCCCACTGTGCAACCCACTACACCACCAGGGCATGAGTCAGAATCAACTCAAATGCAATGCATTTGGTTTTTATCCTAAGGCAGACATTATACTGAGCGTGGTTTCCAGATATTTAAATGTACTGCCGCTGCATTCTGAAGTATGAATTCAAACATTTTAATATAACCAATCTTAAAATATGCATAAATCTAGTAAGCAACAGGCCTCCAAAATTTGATTAATTACATCAGGACATAAATCAAAATCCAATTATATTAAAATGACTGAATGTTAAATTCTTACCTAATGGGAGCTCTATGCTAATACATAACCAAGAAAACGATGTCTCAAGAAGATTTGATTTTGAGCAAGGGCCCAAATAAAGAGAGTAAAATAAAACTGGTTGCAGTAAAGCAACCTCCATTTGATAAGTCCATATTTCTATGTCAATTAACTTTCATTACAAACTATAAAAGACTGAGAACACATATGAACCAAATGCAATTGATAGTACTTATTTGGTTGGCGTGTGTATGAGTTAAAATAATATATACCAAAATATTTGCCGCTTCAACCCTTTTTATGTGTATAATCTGGGGATCTCTTTGGTTCTAGATGCAAGCAAATTTTCTGTAAGAATTAAAAAAAAAAAATTTTCCCCGATGTTCTGAGAAATTTAATATGGACTAGGATAGTAGGAAATGGAATTGCTAGCTTTGTTAGGGATAATAATGGCACTATGGGTTTATATAGAAAAGAGAAGGAAAAAATTTTAAGTTCTTAACAATTAGAGACTATATAGAACTATTTATGGGTGAAAATTATATGCTATCTGAAATTTGCTGTAATGCATTCTAGTAAATTTTTTAAATAGAGGCAGGTGTGAAAATCGATTTTAAAAGATTGGTAAAATGTTGATAGCAGTAATTGTTAAAGATGGATAGTGAGGACTTAGAGCTTTATTTTACAACTTGTGTATGCTTAAGAAATGTTCATATTGGGGAGGTGGGGGGAAGGGAAGAGGTGTTAACAAACCCAGGGACAAATTGGTGGGAGACCTGGTAGGGCATGATCAAGGGGAA